CTAGAGGAATGTACCCTTACATTACTTCTAGTTGTCTAGTTGTCCTCTGGTGTGATATCGTGCTCATTCTTTAAGCGGTCTTTATGTGGTGACTGGTTGAGAAATTTGTTAAATAGGTCCTTTGTAATTATGGATTTGTCTGCCCGCTCATTAAAGGCTTGGAGGTATTTTTCCCTAGTCACCTCATATGTGGCCAAGTCTTCATCATTTACATCTGCCGGGAGCTTCTTGTAGAAGACGGTGCTTCTGTCGACGGATACGACAGTGCCAAATCCATCTGTTGCCAGATTTTCCATTGTGCCACTTAGAACCTCAGCAGATGGCCTCGCGTTCCCACTAAAATTGCGCTGGGCCAGACGTGTAGACACAAAAGGCCCTTTACATAGCAGGATGTGCCTCTGCCGTTCATAGTGGTCACTTGAGGCATTCTCTGTATTAGACTTCACAAGCTGCAAAACATGAAACACCTTTTTAGTAATCCAGTAACAAGTACTGCATCTGAAAATGATGATTCCTGATAAGCTGTTCATCAAGGAATTTTGAAGGATTGATGCTATTGTGTTATGAAAACATCAAGTTCTTTATTAGTTGTTGTTCCTTTTCTAAGTATATGAACAGCTGTAAGTAATCTTTCAGGATGAATATTTATTGATTATTTTTTTTAATTTGTAGAACTTTTGATGGACAATGTTTGTAGAACCATTTCTAGCGTCAGTCATCAGATGTCGAGGTTCAGTAAAAAATAATGATCTGTTATCAAGCATTTAATCAGACTTAAATTTGCAGGTAAAGAATTTGGCTCAACACTTATCAATGTTGTGGCGACAAACTGTAGACATGCCGGTTTGGGCGCTCTGGTTTTTGTGTACCTTATTGGTACTTAATTTTTATACTTTGGTAAGATAGTATTTCGCAGGGTTTTATTTTTGCATATCCAATAGGCAAATATGAAAAAAGGATATTAAAATTCATGATTCAAGCATTTAATCTTGATTTTGTGATTTATACATAAACCAAGGTATTCATCAATAAAAATGAACTGGAATAAAAAGGAAATAAAAACAGAAAAGCAATACACGGCCTGGTTTCCTAGGCTTGTATTTTTCAAATTTCATGTTTATGGTTCCATGGCTATGCCCTCTGTTAATTTGTTTCTCCAAGAAATAGTCACACTTGTTTTACCAGTTGCTTTATTATTGAACAACCACTCACCTGGTCAAGGATTCTCCTCTGTGCTGTAAAATACTGGCACAGTGTTATACTCCTCTGAATAGTTAATGAGCTGATGACTTGTGGTGGTGGTGATTTCTCTTCTTCTTGGAGAAATTTTGTCAGCTGGTCGTATAACACATGGAGAACAGCTGCCAGCCTCAGCACGTGCCTGTCATCTTTTGAAACATCTTCTGGGCAGATGTTTCTCGCCCACTGACTATTAAGGGATGCAGAGATGCCATCTATAAATTCCTCGTACTTTCTGTTGCCACCCTGGTCTAGGGAGTACGTTACAAGGCCATTTTCAGAATGAGAGAACTCATATATGGCAGAATAGACAGCTCTGAAATATAAAAACATTGACTTCAAGATTAAAAACAATTATTACCTTAAAGTTTATTAATTTCTCACATTTTTTGTACTCCCATGAATGAATTCGAGTAAGTAAAGATTTGGTAAAGCATTTGACAATAAAAATCTGCGATAAAATATTACAAAGCATAACACGACGTTTCGACGTTTCCAGAACGTCATTATCAAGTAAACTAAAATAATAAAATCGAGTATATATATAATGAAGCGGTGAATAAATTACAAAGCGTTAAAAGTTAAACAAAGAGTTTAGCCCTAATGGAATCGCTCTGGGTGTTTAAATTGGGCCATGAATGAATACATGTAAATTAACTCTTGTCAGCTTTCAGAGCAATCACCTTGACATTGTTAGAGACAATATGACTCATGCCTATTTTCCCAGAATAACCTGAAACTCTAAAGCATTATACAATTTGTCTATTCCTGTTAAGCTGTTGTAGTGTTCATTTTTTTTAAAAAAAAGTTTCTGTACTGTACACATACTTATATGGATCCAAAACATTCAGGTTTCATCAACCTGTGTTTAAAACTTGCCATAAACAAAAAATTACCTGAGATCTTTCAGTTTCGAATTATTCAGTTTGGTGATATACTCTTGAGTTTCATGTGCTGCCAGACGATGTGGCAAAGGCTGGTACATGAGAATTCTGTCCACTGCACCATCCTGCCTTTCCTTTAGTTTGACATAAATTGGAAAGAAGCGGTTGGGTTGACTGTAGCCACTCACTGACACTCCTGGACTGTCAATGACTTGACGTGCTGACTTGTCTGCCCGTGTATATACCCATGTACTTCCATCATATAACTGGATCATTCGTTCCATGTCTATGCGGCTCTTTTCCCTGGAAGCACCAAGTAGCTGGTCAAAAAACTGTGATGCCTCTTCCTTGCCAATGATAGCTTTATGGCCAGGTGTTGACTTCAATTGACGAAATAGCCCAGCTTCAGTAAATTCGTCAACAAATAAAGGGTTATCCTCCTTTGCCTCTACATGCAACCTTATCGGTTGTGCACAGCCATGGTGAAAGGCAGGTGACTTTCCTGCCCCTGGGTCACACAAGCAGATCATGTAGAGGTTGATACTTTCTGTGCGCATTCTACAGTCAACCTTGACTGTTGAGGGCCCCATCAAGCATGCCACAGTTGGCAGGACACTTGCCAGCAGAATGTCCCTTGTAGTGTTGTTGGCCTTACTAAATGTATCCAACCATTCACTTATTAAGGCTGGGCAAATTTCCTCCCACGGAATGCTAACTTCTTTCCCTTGTTTCCTGACGGAAGGTGCTTCAGCTGCTGTTCGGGACCGCTTGGCTGATGACGGAAATGCTGAAGCCATATCTGAAACAACAGAAAGAATCAGGTCATCTCGAGTAAATCAATCGCTTCGCTCACAATTTAAAATTTATAACCTTGGGTTAAACCAGATAGTATTTTGACTGATAAATATATCACCATTAGTATATGTGCTCGGATATCCTCTTGAAGCTAGGATGGGGATGAAATTAATTTGGTAGTGAGGGGCCGGGAACAGTGAAGTTCTGAGGCCCTTTTAGGGTAAATTTCGATGGGCAACATGGCGTTGAAACAGCGACATCAGAGAAATGAAATGCCGTCAAGCGACTAGGTTATGCCGCGATCCTGCAACACCGACTGGAAAAAGTAAGAAAGGGTCACCTGTGTGTGTAGTGCCTATTATAAACCTGTATATGCAACAGAAAGTATACACGAACCTAAATTCTTCAGTGCCTAAGCGCTTGAGCAAGCTAAATCATCAGACTCGCTTTTCGAGAGATTATCACAGTACGTACACCTTTGTTAAACTTTTATTCATCCTACGACACCTTGCATCGATCTCGCCCGCACTTCCTAACCTTTGGTTATTACTAGTTTAGATTTTAAATTGTATCATCGCATTGTTTTGCACTGGGAAGAGCCCAAGAAGCGCTGCTTTCGCTCCAGACACCGGCTCTCGCGAAAAATTTCTTACACATAATTAAAAAAAACACCAACTATCATTCGGTTCAATTAATTTTCATCTTATTACTAAGATACCTTTTGTTGCATTCTGACGAAGATCCTACAATAGTCCAAGTAAGCGGCAGAATCTCTATGAAAACCGTCTCTTGATAGAGCAGCCATTTTGATTCTTTAAAAGCTTCATGGAACAACCGCTGTTCGAAGTGCTTGTGGTATTGAAATGGGGCGTTCCCTCGTAACAAGGGGGCGCTTTTCAGCGGTCAAATGGTATGATAAATTTTCTGGAAAAAGTTCCAAAAAATCGAGAAATATTTGAATTTCTGAAAAGCGAACCATTCAACCGGAAATTCCGAGAAGAAAATCAAATCGAACGGAAATCCAGTTTTTCAGAAATAAATTCGTACGTTTGCAATTTTCTATTCCGAGAGTTGTAAATTTCCCCCTTTGATAAACACCAGCGACAGCTAAATTTGTCAAGAGAGCGTTGCACGTATAGGTTGGCTACGAAATGTAAATCTGACATGACCAGCCAGAAAGAAAGCAATTCTGCCAGAATTCTTCGTGGTAACACTTTTGATATCCTTCGTCTCGGTTTTGCCGGGGTTTTGTGGATGAAAACCGTAGCTAAAAGCCGGCTCGGGGAAAAATTGCAGAGCTCACCACATGGTGTGATGTTCTTGTTCACAGATTTTGTTCTCAAGTATGTCTGTAACTTTCCGGACAAATTTTCCGTCACTAGCCGATTTCATGTTTGGATTGGTCTAGGACAAATCTGAAATTGCCCTCCAGTGCGACTTGTCACTAAGTGACGTGCTTCGATCGTTTTCACTGTAGGTTAGCGATTTTTCAAAATTCCTTTCCAACAATTCCTGGCAGAAGGCCGCACTGGATGTGATTCATTGTTTATATGTGAGACTACTCCCGGACTACTAGAAGCTCGGTAGAATATCACGGGTTCATACAAACATTCCTGATATCAACAGAAAGAATCACGCAGACTTGATTCTCGATCGTCAACTGAAACAACACGCAAGCTATGACGCAGAAGTCCAAGACTTACGATCGACTTTATCGACAATGCAATACCGAACTTAGCTTGCTAAATGCTAAAACCAGAGAAATAAATACAAATCAGACGTACCTGTGTAATCTTGCCTTTCTTTCTTGATTTCCCTTCGTCAATAGCTGCTGTTACGTGATTTGTGTTGAAGACAAAAGCACAGAAACGTTGGAATATGTTGACAGATTTTGCCTGGCGTCTGATCTGAG